TTTTGGAAAGCAAAGATTTTTAATTAACCAAATTTTATGATTTCTTTTAATTGGAATATCTTTTAGTTTGTCATTTGTTCCTTTCCGAAAAATTTTAAAACAGTTGCTGTAAAGAGAAACTGTTGCCGTTAGAAAGTGAACTATTCATTTAACATTTGATAATTTTCGCTAAATTTTCATTATGATGAAGTTTTTCTTAATTGAACTTTTGCAATTATTATTTGCGCTTGGAATATTATCATATGTAATGTGACACTGAGAAGTGTTTCATTCGATTTTAAGAATTCTTTGCAATGCTATAAAGAGAATAATTGGCAGTTGCGATCAGTAGCAATTATAAAATCAGTGGAAAATTATTTCAGAAATTTGTAATTAGAACAATTAATAGTTGACAGAAGTTGACCGGAAGAATGAATATTATCCAAGACTTTATATCCTAAACAACTTTTTGTATTTATTTAGAATATTACAAGTTATTTACTTGTAGTTGTAATTCTCATTATTGAAATGTGCCCAGGGAATAATCAAATTTTGATCAATATAGGAATAATTGTAATTGAATCGGTTGATAATTGTATTTCATTTTTGGCTCCACAACAACACTTTAAAATATGATTAATGAAGGATGACTAATATGATTATTATCAGTGTAGTCTTATCGCTATAATCATTACCATAATAAGGATATTTGTTCTTTCTAAATTTTTCACGTAAATGAGTCTTTGTCTCACAAACCGCCATCCGTATAAAATCTTTGAGTGTTCATTGTCAGTTCTATATATCCATCCAATACTGTTAGAATAGACTGATCGATATTCATCAACTGCCGCTTCATATTGCAGCACATCAATCGTTGATCGATCCAATGTTGAATGGAATGAAATGCAAAAGGCGCTTTCGGTAGGGTTACACATGAAGAGAAGTATAGCAATGCCATACTTCATACTTCTCTTCATGTGCAATTGTCTATTTGAATAACTCTCCTCACTTTTACAAATACTCTATTCTTTCTTTCAACTTCTCATATTTTATCCAGCAGCCAAATGTTTAAATCTATCCTTTTTTCACATTTAAAAATGTGCCATAATTGAAGTTTATAATTAATAATGAAATTCTTTCAATTATAATTATCACATATGTCACAGACCGTCGTAAATCTTGAACTCTCTCTATTATCTTTTACAGCAGTTCTTAATTTACTAAAATCAAAATTTTCAGCCTTTAATGTAATTATAACACTTTCTGCCATAACATTACTATTTCCCCCTGAAATCATAATAATTTAATAATATATCAGCTGAAATTTCTCTTTAGTTTAATATAATTACATGATAAGAGAAGTTTGTGATAAAAGAATGTGATAATGATTCATTGTGGAAAATATATTTTGCACATTTTCTTGTTTATTTTTAAATTTCATTCATTTTTCACTTTTTAAATCATTTCGAACTAACCATTCATTCATCCATTCATTATGGGCAGTCATATATCATATCATCTTTTCTGATGACATTAAATTCTCATCCATACTTCTTCAATATGAGTCATTCTGATTGCATTGTTGCAGAAAATCTTTCCTGCAAAATTTATCGAAATGCTTTAGACTACACTGAAAGCCAAAACTATGTAAAAGAAATAAATATTTGGCCAAATATTTTTGACTGTTAAGAAACGTACACTTTTCTTCTATTCTTTTCTCATTATTTTTCTTCTGTCATTAATTAAAAAATTTTCCGAAAAGGTTGAGTAAATATCATATTTAACATTTTTCAAAAGCCAACATCACTTCACTTCTTTTATTATTGGCTGTTTGATTTCAAAGAATTTCAGAAAAATTACACCACAAAATTACCACAATATTTTTAATTTCCATCTTTCAGTAATAATATCATTTCGTTGATTGAGGAAATTTTACTTTTCAATGATCCTTCATTTTGGATTTCACTACCAATTATTACAATTTCAGTAGTGAAGTTTTATATTTAAAACTTTTCATTGATAATTCATATTAATTTTGCTATTAACTAACTTCCGTCATTGATTGTTATTTAACACAGTTAAATGCGCTTTAATCATTTATCCATTCATTTCTTTTAGGTAAACACAATTCGTTCTTGTCAATGGATCTTTTATTGAAATATTTGGATATATATTGGCATTCATTTATAATAATTTTTCTTTCATCTAAAACTGAAATTGGACATTTTAAGAATTATTGATTATTTTATATTTCTTTTTACTTTCAATAACAAACATTTGATACTTTCAGCTGCTATTTATTTTAATTTCTTCTTTGTTATTTCTTTTGATACTTTTCTATTTTATAATAATTTCTTATAATTTATATCTAAAAGAAAATTACATTTTGCCATTTTCTTTCATTCTTTAAATTTTTGGAAGAAATCATAACACATTCACCGTAAAGGATATGCAGCAAAAAAAATGATATCATCTATCATTTCTTGAAGAAATTCTTTAAATTGTGCAATTTAACTTTTCGACCGAAAAAATTTCTTTTTCTTTTTTTAAAACAAAAAGATGCCACGCGAAAATATTCACTCTGTCAATAACTTATAATGTTTTTCTGTCACTTTTCGTCGATCAATTGATTGCAATTTGATAGTTTTTGCAGTTTGTTAATTTTCATTCTACTATTTTCATTCGTCAAATTACGAATTTATAAACTAAGCTAAACTGAGTGATATTAACAGTAAACGACAAGTGCGATTGATGGTAAAGTGTGAAATTTCTGTCATTTTCTATTGTTGAAATTTTGTTTGTTATTTTTCAATTTACAACACTTCGAAAAGATCTTAAATAGAGCATATCTCTGATTTATAACATTTAAATTAGCAGTGGAAATGGAAAATTATAAAAGAAAAAGCTTTTGAAGAGAATTAATCTTTCACTATCGTATAAGCTAAAAATAAATTGATATCTATTTCAACTCGACTGTTTAATCTATTTTGCAGTGCTGCAAATACCATCCTAAAATTCAATTGTCTTTATGGAATGAGATCAATTGCTTCCTTCATTTATTACTGACTGACATTCGGTTTTCATGATAAAAATTTAGCCAACTTAATTTTACTAAGTTCTAATTAAGTTTTACTAAGCTTTTTTTCATTCTTTTCTTATACTGTGAGAGATTTTTTAAATGGAAATTTAAACGTTAATCTTAAAAGTAGCTCATTCAAGTTGGCGTTTCATACTAAATTCAAGTCTTCATCATTATATTTTTCATTTTGAAAATTGTAACATGATTTTGAGAAAAATGATAGAACAGAGGAGGTTTAACCGAAGGAAAAGATGTTTTCTCATCAATTCCATTAACTGATGAGATTGGAATCCAATCTGAATTCATATTTAAAATTTCACTTCAAAATTTTCTTTAAATTACTTCTACTTAATTTGAATTTTCGGTTATCCCAACTTCAATTTCCTTCCTCACCCATTAATCGTTCATGCTCTTTTGTTATCAAAATTGCTTCCCTCAGAATTCCTTAAAATAGAAGTAGCATTAATCTCTCATTCACTGCCTTTCCCGGGAATTCTTCAACTACCTTCTTCATTTTCTCTTGTACCCGAATAATGCGATTTTTTAGATGCTGCATTTGTTCTCCATCCTTTTACTTCTCTATTTTTTGTGTATTCTCTCTTTATATATACATACGCACAATTGAATTATGCAAACAACTTGTCGATTTTTTATATCTGAATAGCTAACTTTACATCTCTCCTGAAATGGATGGCGTTTATTTTAGAATCTCCTGATAGCAGTTACAAACGATCGTTATATGGCAGATCGATGCATATTATGGTGCTGGTATATTTAGAGTCTTCGTAAGAACACTCTGACAACTGTCTCACTCAATGGATCAGTTGCGCTGACCGCTTTTGTCATTGGTTTACTACTTTGCATTTCAATAAAAGCAAAAATCCTGCCTATTAACAACGTGAAATTGAGCTAGATATTTGAAGCTCAATCTTATCCTTCTCGAGTTCAATCTTGTTATTCCCCTAATCTTCAGTCTTGCAATATGTAGCACTCTTCTGTACTGCAACATTCAATAAAATAAATTTTGTTTTACTGCAACAGCAATAGATAAAACTTATCTATTCGGGTGTTTATATTAACTATAATTTCTATAGTTGCGCATTCATTTCATACTCTTTTTGTTCTTTTGCAAATTTCTCTCCAATCAATTTATTGAAATCGATGTCATTTTTTGTTCCATTTCTTCAATTTAAATTCGATTCATTTCTATGAAACTGAATAAAATACAAAATCGTTTTTTTATTAGAGTAAATCTGGCTATTTTTCATTTTACTACATATAAAACTAGATTTTTCTCTGCCTGAGCCTTGATATTAAAAAAAAGAAGCAAATCTAAGCTCTAATAATGGAATTTATCTCTAATGTTATTATTTCACGCTGTACACTAATATTTTATATTTCATACTGATTTAACTATCGTTTAAAATATAAATTCTACAAGGAATGATTAAAAGCATATATTTTTAAAATTCGTTTGTTTTTTGCACCAATATGGTAGAGAATTACATACAAATGCTTGTATTTGAAATTTCTACTGAACAATTCCCGGATCAGATTAGCTTTTATCAGTTGATGAGCATCGATTTGTCTGTTAATATATGAGTGAAGACGCTTGTTATATGATCTGAAATTGCAGACGACAAGTTAACTTCCTTCTAAGGTTCATCGTATTATGGATAAATTGATTTTAAAGGATTATTATACGAACAGAGATATAAAATTGATTTCTTCTAGTAATTCCACAATTTGTCCTTTAAAAAGAGTAACAGCGTGATTTGAAGATATTTGAAAAATTGTTAGTCTCTGCGGATAATTTCCATTTCATATGTTGTAGCACCGTTTGTCATGCATCACTTTTGAAACTTACGTGTTACGCGTACAAATTTTTGATAAATTTTTATTTTGAATGAAGATAACCGGTGTGATAGGTAATTTGCAGGCGATGACGACCGATATAGCCGTGCGAGGTCACGATTACAATGGTCGGATCGAGGATTATGAGGAGTACGATGAGAATTCTTCTGCCAGACTCTTCGAACGTTCACGCATCAAAGCTCTCGCTGGTTTGTTCATTTTGTTATGTTACTTTATGATTGCAAAATTTAATTTTTGAATTTCCTCTCTAAATGAATAAGCAATTGCATAAGTTGCTCTTTCAGATGAGCGTGAAAATGTTCAGAAAAAAACTTTTACCAAATGGGTAAATTCACATCTTTTGCCCATAAACTGCAAAATACACGATTTATATATGGATATGCGTGACGGTAAGATGCTCATCAGACTTCTTGAGGTGCTCTCAGGCGAGCGATTGGTTAGCTTTCCTTTATTTATTGATGAAACTTATTAAGCATTAAGAAGTTATTGATAGTTTGGTTTCAAAAAACACCATATAGAACGCATGATTGCTGATTTTCGTCTGTTGCTTAGCAGATTGGTTTTTGTCAAAAGAGATATTTCTAACATTTAAGTGGTTTATTTTTCTTGTTCTTATTTTAATAGGTAGCTAAACTTCTAAGCAAACAAAGTATTAATGGCTTGCTTAGTCATATTTTTTATTTCTGTTTTTGTTTTTGTCATTTTATACATTTTCTGATCAACTTTGACAAGAATTGATGAATATTTATATAGTGGATGTGCATATTGAAAGATGTATTTATTTGCTTAGCTAGAAAAGATGAAATACAGCTAAACACATTCATCATATGTTTATATGAGGTTTTGATGAAAGTGAAACATCTTTTCTATAATGATGTTTTGGGTTACTAGATAGTTCGTACTACCAACGCCATCATTGAGCCCTTCTCGCTGTCCTCCTTGTTCATTCTACTTTCGCCACTCATTTCTTAAGCTAGAATATGCATTTTCATAAAATTGGAATCTCAGCTCAAGTCCAAAAATACCTACCATGTGGCAAAAATTGTAAGAATAGATTTGAATAGCAAGTTATGAAAAAGTATGAAAACAGTAGAACTAATTGTAGCGCAGGTGATCAAACTGGAAGATATACTGATCCAGTAAATATGACTTGATTACGCGAGATATTGTATTTTCGTATTTCGGTACTGTTTTGTCAGTTTTTCTGTATCACTTTTGTAGATGCAAAAAAATTTTTTAGCAGGTAGGTCGAAGGAGCTTGTGCTTCAAACTATATCACATGTTGTCTCAAATTGTGTCATATGTTAGAAGTAATCATTTCACAGAAAGTTTAATCTGTAGAAGAAAATCAATGTAGCATGGTACGTTTCTGAAAAGTTAAAAAGATTTTAGCCGAAACCAACCCGTGGTAGAATGCGTATACATTGTCTCGAGAACGTGGACAAAGGGTTGCAGTTTTTGCGTGACCAGCATGTTCATCTGGAGAATCTCGGATCACATGATGTCGTGGATGGGAATCCCCGACTAACATTGGGTCTTATTTGGACCATCATTTTACGATTCCAGGTTGAATTTCTTTCTTATTATCAGACAAGGAGGATTATGAATTTTTATCTGTTCATATTTCAATGTTTTACAATATTTTATCATATTATTTGGATAAAAGATTTTGCATATTCTATATCAGTTACTTATGTTATTGCGTGATAATTTGGTAGCTTTCTTAGCATGAAAGCGGTGAACTAGTAAACGGATTCAAACAGTAAACACATTTTTTTCTATTTGTCTCAATGAAGTGAATAGAAGCATCTCTACAAAAACTGGTTATCATAAGATTCTGGATTTTATTCATCAGATCTTGTTTCAATTAATTAGTCAGTTGTGCGAAAATGATTTCTTTAACTACATTAGTGTTCTCCTCGCAACAGTTTGGGTACTAGACTTGTTTTTTCAAGGAAAAGTTCATTCAATTTGAAGCCTTAAAAGATTTAATGATGAGATTTTTTGCGATGATTATTCAGTTCTTTATTGTTCTAGATTCAAGATATTACATTCGAAGATGCAGACAACCAAGAGACACGCAGTGCTAAGGAGGCTTTATTACTGTGGTGTCAAATGAAGACAGCCGGTTATCCGAACGTAAATGTTCGAAACTTCAGCACTTCATGGCGTGATGGCTTGGCATTTAATGCACTCATTCATAAACATCGTCCCGATCTCATAGAGTATGAAAAATTGCAAAAATCCAATGCGCTCTACAACCTAAGTAACGCATTCGAAACAGCTGAGCAACAACTTGGATTGATCAAATTTTTAGACCCAGAAGGTTTCTGTAAATTTTTACTTTTCGAAGTGTTTTGGATAAATAATAAGAGATTAAATCTTTATTGTGTTTTGATACTCAATTTTTTTCTCAGTGTCCCACGTCAACTTTTTTTTGGTATGTTTTGCAACTATTACAGATGTGAATATCGATATGCCTGATGAGAAATCAATCATCACCTATGTCGTGACTTATTACCATTATTTCAATAAAATGAAGCAGGAAACTATCCAGGGAAAAAGAATTGGAAAGGTGGTATTTCTGTCTATCCAGGATTTGATAATTATTTTCTAAGAATTTTAATTGATCTTATTTTTGCTGTGGGTTGCTTTCAGAATTTGATTATTGAATTCAGTCTTTGATATTAGGTAGTGAATGAGTTGGTGGAGAATGAAAAACTTATAAATAACTACGAACGTCTATCAAGCGATTTATTGGAATGGATTCAAAAGACCATTGAATCACTGAATGATCGTCATTTTGTCAATTCGTTAAGCGGCGTACAAAAGCAACTTGCTGAATTCAACAATTACCGCACGCAAGAGAAACCGCCGAAGTAAGACGAGATTTTTCGAACGGTTGTTGGTACCCTTTCCCCTATTTAAGTCGTTAAGTTCAAAAGAGATAGATATATTATCTTTCTTCGGATTTACTATAAATCAATAAAAAGAGTTGCCTCTAGAGACTCTGCTATCAGTTGCTAAAAAGTACTGACGTGTAAATTTCAGAAATGTTCTCTATAATCAATTTATACATTTCTTGCAGGTTCAATGAAAAAGGTGAATTAGAAGTACTTCTTTTCACTATTCGAAGTCGTATGCGTGCTAATAATCAGAGGCCATATTTACCAAGAGATGGCAAACTAATCGCGGACATCAATCGAGCTTGGGAGAATTTGGAAAGAGCGGAACACGAAAGAGAGCTGACATTGAAGGAGGAAATTATTAGGTAGATCATTCGCTAAGCTTCGTATGGATAAACTATAAAGTTCTTTTAATGTGTGGCTACTTCAAAAAGATCTATAACTTACAGTTGCCATAATTAAAGAGAGGAGTTTTTAGGCAAGAAAAACTTGAACAACTGGCAGCTCGATTCGATCGTAAGGCGAGTATGCGAGAAACCTGGCTTAGCGAAAATCAGCGACTTGTCAGTCAGGATAACTTCGGTACTGATTTGGCTAGTGTAGAGGTAAGCAGCTTATGACTATTATTGAAAGAAAGCTCTCAGGTTTGTTATTTATATGAAGTATATACGTGATGGTAAATCTCGTTAGAATAAACTACCAAGCAAAAATTTTAGTAAGTGAGAGGAAAAACTTGTCCTCCATTTTTTATTATCTTATTAGTCTTGTAGAAAAGTGCACCATTTTTGCGCTTCGATTCACTTTCACAGCGTAAGAAACGAACAGATAAAAACCTCTGCAGGCAGCTACAAAGAAACACGAAGCAATAGAGACAGACATTTACGCATATGAAGAACGCGTACAAGCGGTTGTCGCTGTAGCCGGTGAATTGGAAGCTGAAAATTATCATGATATTGATCGAATTAATAACAGGTCATGTTCATTTCTAATATCATCAAAGTCTTGATTTGATAGATTTTTTTTTGCATTACTATAATGTTATATTGATGTGTCGCTATATATAATACTACGATGCATTTCAATATCATACATCAGCTTCAGTTGATAAACTAGTATTGGCTTAGCTGTGCCGCAGCACCATTAACATACTAACAGGAATTTCACTACATTCTCGTTGCCACATATCTTCAATATTATGATTTTGCAGAAAGGAGAATGTTCTACGACTGTGGAATTACCTGCTTGAATTATTGTTGGCACGCCGTGTTCGTTTAGAACTTTCTATGGCAGTTCAGCGAATTTTCCATGAAATGGTCTATGTTCTGGATTGGTGCGATGAAATTAAGGTAGCTATTAGTCCTTAACTTTAGAATACATCAGCCCATATTCGCAAATCATTAACAGCATTAAAGTTAAAAATAAATATTTACAATCATGGACGCTAACTAGATGTGTCTATAACTAAATGAGTTTGCATAATGAATGGCTGAATTTATGTTGACAAGTTTTCAGGCTCGTCTTTTATCCGAAGATCTTGGTCAACATCTTATGGATGTCGAAGATTTGCTACAGAAGCATGCACTCTTGGAATCAGATATCAATATTGTTGGAAATCGTGTTAAAAATGTGAACAGCCAAGCGGAAAAATTTACATTACCAAACGGTCCGGATGGCAGTGGGTATAAACCAGTGGAACCATCATTAGTTGAAGAAAGAATGCAAATTTTGTTGGATCGTTATGCGGAGTTAAAAGAATTAGCAGTGGAACGCAAACGTCGTTTGGAAGATAATAAGCGTTTGTGTCAGTTCTGGTGGGATGTTGACGAATTGGAACATAACTTAAGAGATATGGAACAAGTACTCACATCACCAGATACTGGACGTGACATGGTTTCAGTCTCACTACTGCTCGCTAAACATAAAAATGCAGAGCAGTCACTCGATATGGTTGGTAAACGGTTGGATGATCTCGAAAATGAAGGTCAGCAGTTACAAGAAGAGAAGATTCCAGGTTAATATTCATATTTTTTCAATTCTGTGATTTACTGCTAACATTTAATTTTCATTTATAATTTCCATAATCATTTAATTCTTGGTAAGATTTAGGCTAAAAGTTCTCGAATTTTTTGACCTTTTTTGAGATTGCATGATAATTGAATAGCTTCTTGAAACCTGCATTCCATATGTAAATGATTCATTCTGAAATGATTTTATTATCATGAGATATTTAGTTAACATCTTTCTAAGCATTCTTTCATTCCTGTGTAATTTATTTATCATAGTAGATGAAAGTAGATGAAAATGGTTGCAGAAAATTCTTGTATCCAGCGGCGTGAAGAGCTCATGTGGGTTGCTAACTTTAGAATTAAGTTGTTTGGAGTAAAATAACATAGAAACATTCATGCGGAAAATAAAGAAATATATACAAAATTAGTTTTATATTTCTAGAAGCAATACAAGTGCAAATTTAAATTTCATTTATCTATCGGTTTTTAATTTTTAGTTTTGTTTTTTATCTATGCCTAGATGATTCTCATTTCAAATCAATTAATTAAGTATAGGGGAATAATTTTTTTATATTAAAGATGCCGCTCATATGAGCTTGTGTTGTTGTGGTGCGCAAAGCATATCGCAATTTTAATTTCTATTACTTAAGATTGTATTTAGAAAATGAAATGCCTATTGATCTCTCTACCGTAATTTCTATTTAGATTTCCTCCATTTTCAGGTGCTGAAACTATAAATAATCGTTTGGCTACAATTCGCGATTACTTCAGTAAGCTGAAGGAATTGGCTGGAGATCGTCATCTGCGACTTTCCGGAGGTGTCAATTACTATCAATTCTTCAATGATGCTGATGACGTGGACGCGTATCTTGTTGACACTCTACGTTTAGTGGGTAGTGAAGATGTTGGGAAAGATGAAGGTACCGTGCAGTTACTTATCAAGAAGCACGACGATGTTAGCGATGAGTTACTTAAATTCGAAGAGAATATCAAGCAGTTGCATATTCAGGTTCGTTTTAAATTAGGATTTTTATGTTCAGTCGTGGAAATTTGCTTTTATATTATTGATATTCTATCTTTATGAACATTAAATCGCATGTACTCTATACAGATGCAGCTTTTTGCTATCAAATGAATACAGCGTTATGATTTCGCATGATTTTTCTTATTTTAGGCGGAATCTCTGCCGCCTGAGGCTCGTGAACACCCAGATGTACGCAGGCGTCTTGACATGACCGAAAGACGTAAGGCAGAATTGGAAGAACTTGCAAGACTTAGAAAGCAACGTTTGCTGGATGCATTATCTTTATACAAACTCTTCAGTGATGCTGATATTATCGAAGCTTGGATCGATGAGAAAGTATGTTTTGAATCTAAAGAAGATTTCTATGAATATTTATTATGTCTAATTGGAAAGGCATAGCATAAGTTGTGTACATTACAGGGCAAACTGCTAGCGACGTTAGTACCAACTGATGATTTAGAAGAAGTTGAAATCATGAAACATCGTTTTGAAACCCTTGAAGCTGATATGAACAACCAAGCAGCTAAAGTTGCAACTGTGAACGAGCTTGCACGTCAGCTTCTTCATGTTGATCATCCAAATTCAGATGAAATCTTGCAAAGGCAGAATAAGCTTAATGCGAGGTAAGCAGGTTCAATAACTTTAACATATTTTACTTTCAAATTTCTTGTTCAATATCTGAAACGACGTTATGAATTTTCGAGATCCTGTCGTTGATGATTTCGCTTCGAAAATCTCATCAATTAGAATTTAGATGGGCACAGTTGCGCGATATGGTTGATCAGAAAAGATCTGAACTTGATCAGGCACATCGTTTGGAAACATTCCGTATCGATTGTCAAGAAACAGTTTCCTGGATCGAGGATAAAACCCGGGTACTTGAAGATGCTAGCGAACTTACTAATGATCTCACCGGTGTTATGAAGCTTCAGCGCCGTTTGTCTATGATGGAACGTGATCTTGGTGCTATTCAGGTATTGTAATGAAATCTCCACTTCAGAATACACTTAGATACTCATCAAAATTCTTAATAATATGACTTGTATCACAAGTCAGAAATTTCGGGAGCATTTGCAATCTTTGTGAAATTCTGCTTAACTAAACATTTCAGGCCAAACTTGATTCACTGCAAAAAGAAGCATCCGAAATTGAAAAGGAAAAACCTGCAGATTCAGTACAGATACGAGAAAATATCAAGCGAATGCATCTGGTTTGGGATCTACTCAATAGACGTGTACGTGAGCATGAGGCGAAACTTGATGAAGCTGGTGATTTGCAACGATTCCTTCGTGATTTGGATCATTTTCAAGCTTGGTTGACTGCTACACAGAGACAAGTATAATTTTAGTTCTTTTAGATTTCAGGGAATATATCCAATCAGTTTTATCTTATTCAATCAGCATTAAATTTTCATGTTAGAGTTTTAAAATGATGTAAAATTGGTTCTGATTTTCTGGTAAACTTTCTTTGTTTTTTAGGTTGCTTCAGAAGACGAACCACAATCTCTGGCTGATGCTGAACAGCTGCTTAATCAGCACGCAGCAATTCGGGAAGAAATTGATGGTTATGCAGAAGATTACGTCAAGGTAAATTTACTAAGATAATATGACAGTAAAAGTTAAGGCAAAATTCTTTTGTTTTTGTATCATGAAAGCGAAGAAAATCAATGTAGGGGAATGCTGACCATGTTATTCTAGTAATAATTATGCTTATTCATTTTGATTGCAGATGCGAGCGATGGGTGATCGAGTAACTCAAGATCAGACTGATCCTCAATATATGTTCTTACGTCAACGCCTCGCCGGATTAGAAGAAGGCTGGGAAGAACTGCAAAGAATGTGGGATAATCGACAACATCTCCTTAGTCAAGGATTAAATTTGCAGGCAAGTGTTATTTTCATTGGTATTTTTTCTCTTTCGAGCTTTGATCGAATATTTCGTTTTTGCTATGGGACCCATTTTTGTCTTACATTTGAATTATTTAGATGTTTCTCCGTGATGCAAAGCAAGCCGAGGTTATGCTTTCACAACAAGAAAATTATTTATCGAAAGATGAAACACCGAGCTCATTAGAGCAAGCTGAAAATATGCTCAAGAGACATCAAGACGTCTTGACAACTATGGACGCTAATGATGAGAAAATTAAGGTGCTGTTTATAACTGAAAAGTTTTTTTGCGTTCATTTGGCTTTTCAATTCTCTTTCAAAGCTTTTAGATTACCTCATATCAAGAATTTCCTTCATTACATTTTATATATAATTATTGCGTTTCAAAATCATTCAGGCAGTCGTATCTTTTGGCGATCAACTTTGTAGTGATGGCCATTATTCAGCTGATAAAATTCACAAAAAGGCTCGAAATATAGAAGAACGCCGTGAAGCAAATCGTGAAAAGGCTGCACAGTTGTTGAACAAACTCAAAGATTCCCTCGCACTACAACAGTTTTTGTCAGATTGTGAAGAACTCCGGGAGTGGATCGAAGAAAAAATGATTCGTGCACAGGATGAAACTTACAGGTTGAGAGCATTGATAATTTATAAGACCAAAAAATTTTCAGATTTTCTCAAGATCTTTCATCTTATCTTACTGATTTCTAATGCTAACCTTCTTCCTCTAATTTTTAGAGATGCCAAAACAATTACATCGAGGTTTATGCGCCATCAGGCATTCCAGTCGGAGCTTCAATCGAATCGTGAACGACTCGTACAGCTTCATCATGCAGCAGTTAAGTTATCTGAGGAAAAGCCCGAATTTGTTAGTGCCATTGATCCACAGATTGCTGATTTGTCAATGCAGTGGGAGCAGCTCGAGAAAACTACCGAAGAAAAAGGACAGAAGTTATTTGATGCCAACAGACAACAACTTTATGTGCAAAGTATCTCTGACATGAAGGTTACTTCTTTCATTTTTTCTTTTACCACGCAGATATGAATAAAAAACCGATAATCATTACTCTTTAGTCAGAGCGTGCTTAATTATGGAGATTGTGGGAAGTTTTTATTGTTTTTGACATTGCTTTTATTAGGATTGGGCTGAACAGCTTCAACAACAGATGATAATAGAAGATACAGGGCAGGATTTGACGACAGTTAATGTTGCCATGCAGAAGCAACAGATGATCGAAAGTGAAATGGTGAAACGAGCTGCACAAATAGATTCATTACAGGTTGTTTAAAAAACATTTGGACATTTCGTAAATTTCTGAACCGTAAGCATAATTGCTACTTAAATTTATTTCTAGGGTGAAACTCCCAAAAATCCGGTTTTAGTTATAGAATTTTTTACTGGAGGAAGGGAAGAGGGTAATACAATGACTCAACATAGAATGTGGAGAACTATTTAAGTATTTGTAATATTTCACTCATTCTTTCAGCAAATGGAACCACAGCTTGAAGAAATGCACCCAGATGAGGTGGAAGCAATTAAAGCACATCGTCTGGCCGTGCAGGAACAATTGCAGCAACTACAAGTGCCGCTAGATGATCGACGTCGTCAACTAGAGCGCAAAAAGAGAGCCTATCAATTCTTGCGTGATGTTGAAGATGAAAAACTGTGGTGTACAGGTGGAGAATTTTTCAGTTTTCTTTTTAAAAAATTTTTGATTTACTGAAAACTGTAAAATTCAGCTTTAATTATAGAATCAGCTTTTCCACAGATCTGGAAATTGTTTCCTGATTTTTCAAATATCAGAAGCTATTTACAGAACCGTTACCACTGACGCAAGCGCATGAACTTGGTGAAAATCTGTTCGACTGCAATCGTCTGCAAAAGAAAGTGCAATCATTGAAGCACGAAATTGATAACCACGAGCCATGGATTGAAAAAATCTGCCAAAACGGTCGTGAAATGATTGAGGAAGGCCATGAAAATAGTTCAGAATTTCAGCGAAAAATTGATGAATTGATGAAAGTATGGCAGGTAATTAGTTTTTCTCCATTAATTTTCACTTTTTCGGGTTAAAGTTTTCTTTCGTTTGTTAAATTTGTTTAAGAAGCTTTAATTTTTTTCATTTTCTGTATTTCAGAACTTGAAAGATTCTCTGAACGCCCGCAAAGAACAACTAGCTGAGAGCGAAAAGGCGCACCAGTTCCTTTACGATTGCAATGAAGCAGAAGCATGGATGAGCGAACAGGAGCTTTACATGATGCAGGTGTGTTAGAGACTCTTTCTTCGATGAATAAATTCGGATTTTGTGATCGTATCGTTTCTTGGAGCAAAATTTGCATTATAATATTGTTTCTCCGCAATTCATAATGATACCGAATTTTTAACAGATTTTGATAAACTCGCAAATATTCTTGTTCACCGACAAAATTTTGGGTAGTAACCTACGACCTATAATTTCAACTCATTGCTGCGATGAGGGAGAACAGTTGGAGTTTAAGAAAATAATCTTGTTATATGAAAATAATTTTTCATTATTTGACTCTTTTGCAGGACGAGCGTGGTAAGGATGAATTCTCAACAGAAAATCAAATTAAGAAACATGAACGTTTGCAACAGGACATTAATCAGTATGCAGATACCATTCGGAATCTGGCTGCACAAGCCCAAAAATTCGTTGATGAGAAGCGTCCATTGTGGTAATTTCATCAATTGTCTGAAATTGATATAATTTTATAAATAATTTTGAGAAAGTGGAGACGCGGGGATTTTATATATATATAGTATTGTATAGTGATTTATATATACAGATTTTATTGTAGGGAGCATATTAGTGTTCGGCAAGCTCAGATCGAGAAATTATACGCAGGCTTGCAAGATTTGTGCAAAGAAAGGCGAAAACGTTTGGATGAGACTCTGCAATTGTATGAACTTCATAGAGAAATTGATGATTTGCTACAGTGGATCGCAGACAAAGAAGTATTGTTTTTAGTTATTTTTGTAGCACTGTGGAGAAAGTTATTTCTAAATTCTCTTGTTTTTGTTTCCAACTGACCGTGAATTGTATAATAATTTGTGGATTTATTTTAGCTGGTTGCTGGTTCTCAAGACGCAGGACAAGACTATGAACATGTACAGATGCTTATTGAACGATTTCTGCAATTTGCTAGAGATACTGAAAATATTGGATCAGACCGGGTGGCAAATGCAAATAATGCATGTGATCAAGTAAAACATTTACATTCCATAATACATTTCAAAAATTCGACTAAATTGAATACGGCAAAAATTTGAGTTGGTTGTGATTCTTGATCATTGCATGCCAATCTGATTTAATGTTTTCCGTAATTATTGAAAGAGTTCTCTTCTCAGCTGATCGCTGTTGGACATTCGGATGCTCCGACAATTGCTCTATGGAAAGATAGTCTGAACGAAGCGTGGGAAAACTTGCTTGAACTAATCGATACGCGAATGCAAATGTTGGAAGCATCTAGAATGCTTCACAAATTTTTCCACGATTGTCGTGATTGTCTTTCGCGAATTTTGGAGAAAAACCATTCGATACCGGAAGATCTTGGTCGCGATTCATCTTCAGTTGGTGCATTGAAGCGGAAGCATCAGAATTTTCTTAAAGTTTGTTTTTCGTTTGATTTAAACTACTTTTGCAGATCGAACAAATCTTCATACTGTCTTCTCTGTTTTTTATCTCTTATTAAATGTTATTGAATAGATTTTAACGAAATGTAGAAGTGGAACTCGTTTGTAGGATATCGAGGCTATAGGTCAACAAGTTTCACAAATCGAGCGCGATGCATTAGAATTGCGTGATGCCTATGCTGGAGACCGAGCAATCGAAATAGGTGCACGTGAAGCAGAAGTACACAAAGCATGGCGACAACTACGCGCAGTGTGCGATGCACGTTCGATGCGATTGGGCGATACATCTGATCTCTTCCGATTCATGAGCATGGTCCGCGATTTGTTGCTGTGGATGAATGAGGTTAAACGAGAAATGATGTCACAAGAAAGGCCGAAGGTTATTTCATAAGAAAGATTTCTTTCGTGATCTTCCAATTTTCAATTCTGACACCCAGTGGTTCAATAGAATATAAGAAAAAAACTGCTCTATGGCTGAAAATTTTCATAATTTTAGGATGTTTCTGGTGTCGAGTTATTGATGAATAATCATCAGAGCTTAAAAGCAGAAATTGATGCACGTGAAGAAAATTTCAACGCATGCATATCACTGGGTCGAGATCTTTTGAATCGTAAACACTACGCATCATCTGAAATCGAAAAAAAACTGATCAAGCTGACGACTGAACGGGCTGAAATGATGCGACGATGGGAAGATCGTTGGGAGTATTTGCAGCTAAGTGAGTTTTTTGTGATTTGGGACTTTGAAATAAAAATTACGAGCCAGTTCAGTAGATGGTAGATCCGAAATTATCGCAGAATTTTGAGGTAATCTCTGTATAAGCGTTGGACTAACTGTGCTTTGCAGCAGTCATCTGATTATGAAATGGATCGTTTTGCTTATGTTTGCTGCATTGATGATATTCATTTCGTTTTTTAGTATTGGAAGTATATCAGTTCGCAAGGGATGCGGCAGTGGCTGAAAGTTGGTTGATGGCGCAAGAACCATATCTTATATCGAAGGAATATGGGGTATTTTATAGTCTTTTATTTGAAAATAATCTCTCCACAAACTGAATAAGTAATTTGAATAGTTCTTTCCAATTTTTTTAATATGACATTCCGAATACTAAAAATGAAAAAAGAAAGAATTGAACTTACAAAATGACTACTGTCAATATTTTCAGCGGAATCTGGAAGAAACAATAAAATTGATTAAAAAGCACGAGGCTTTCGAAAAGTCTGCTAATGCTCAGGAAGAACGTTTCTTAGCACTGGAGAAATTAACAACGGTACAATATTATTTCTCTAAACATTACCAAAAGTTGCATTCAATTTTTTGATGGATATTAGACACAGTATGTGCTCTCAATTTTTGCTCCAGATTATCAGTTCACAGTTTGTATTTGCACAGTCTGTTGCATTTCAGACTCTTTAGAAATTCCTCAATGTTTAGTTATTAAAGTTGTATTCCTCATCTAAACTGTTTCTCAGTTATTTTGAATTCTTGTTAGCTATGACTAATTTTGCAACCCTTACTTCTCCAGCTGAAATTGGTAATAAAGCAATACCTATCACTGTTTCTAAGAGTATCATCGCTGAAGAAAACGTAAGGTGTAGTTGAATGATTTTGAATTTTTTTGTTTGCTTTTAACAAAATATATTTACAATACAGGTCATGAGTAGCCACCTCTATATTATCTATAATTCCACTTTCTTAGTGCTCATCATCGATCTGAAAATTTTGCAAAATAATAAATTAGTAAATAAGTGGAAAGATCTCATATATTTTCTCTGCTTATTTCTTTAAAAGATCTCGACAATTCATTAATTTAACATTTGACTTTTTTCTGTTTTTTTTTTGTTACATTTTACTTAATAAGTAATAGGGGCTGGATTGATGCTATGGCTATTAGTGATAATTATTGCATTCGTTTAAACACATATAAAGGTATGATCAATTTTTAGTTCGAATTAAAAGAGATGCAAAGGCGAGATATGGAAGAAGTGGAACGTCGTGCACTTAGTGGGCCGGCTGGTGATGTGCGCCGTGGAACTCTTCAACGAACATTAGGTGCAGTAGGCGAACGATCTGCAGAAACTGCATTTCCATTGGAAAGGGGACCTCAAACATCTGATGGTGAGTATAGCACTATTGCTGGGTTATTGGGTTGTTTGGTTTATATTAGGAAATCTTGTATTCGTCGATTACTACGGTAGAAGATTTTCTTAATGTTAGCTCCAGTTAAAATTATATTGTCTTAAAAATCTTATGTTTAGCTAACTCTAATCATAGACGTGGGAATTTGAAATATATGAGAGATTGTTTATGGATTTCCTTTAATAAATATTGCATGGCATTTTTTTTAATTGTCTCTGTTACTCACAACAATTTTTTAAAATTAGCATTTGCTTCTGAAAAGCATACGACGTGCACGTTTGCACATTTTATTTTAATGCGTGGTAAGGTGCATGTATTTTGCACGGTTTTGTAGTGCGCTTTGCAGATTTTGGAGATGGAAATTTACACGATGCAGTTATGAGCACTGGTAGTGGTACATCATTACGAAAAACTAGACATAATGCTGGTACATTTCAACATACAGTTTACATTTTCCTTGAGAGTAAAGCACAAAATTTGCTACAAGCATTATATAAGGTGAAGTATCTGCATGTTTATAATTTCTATCCGCAGAAAAGGCCGCTATGTAATCAATTGTTGGTACCTCCTTGATCTTGGCACGTGCAATGATAAGAATGTGTTTGTTTTGCACTTTTTGTGTTTTGTGAGTCAACAGAATTTGAAATTTTGTTGTGTGAAGTTTTCACTGCATGTGCGATAATTTGCACTATTTGACAAATTTTTCATTTCTGCTGTATATGAACAGCATTCTAAGTTCACAATAACGTGTTCGTGTCGTAGATATGTAACAGTAATCGTAGCTGTTGTGTTGTTTGCAGAACGTAATAGTCGATTAGTGGCATCAGAACCTTCTGGTTGGCGATTATCATTGTCGAGGTCGGCTCGTTTTGATGTACACGATTTACGGGGTAAGAGAGCGAGGAGTGATTATTTCTCTCTTGAATAAATTGACGCTTTTGTTTTTCGAAATTGTAATTTTGCATGGGTTTTGAATTGTTTGTTACTTTTTTAGTAATAGTTTTCATGTACTTTGTTGTTCAAAACAGTATGGAAAATTACTTTGTCATTACCTTTGACCATTACATAAGCGTGGTACCGCAAATACGCGATCCATATCGTCTATATTGTCTTTGCTAAAAAGGTTTACAGTGCTGACCGTTAAATTTTTTTCAATTTTACAGTGAATTTGTGACATTGTGTTATTTTTTAATAATTTCCATATGTTCTAGGGATTGATATAGGCGATGCTTTTGAAGGTGTATTAATCAGGAAGCATACGTATGAATCTTTGGAGCGCAAAGCATCAAGCAGGTAGATTTTGTGCTGGAACCTCTAGATTTTTAGACTTTTATTTTAAATTCTATTTAGTTTTTCTGATTTTATCGTTTTATCATTTTTTTAGGTCATGGGAAAAAGTGTATGCAGTATTACGCGGGTCACAATTGGCATTTTTCAAGGATCAGAAGCACATGGAGGAAAATGCATTGTTTCGTGGGGAGGAACCATTAAATTTGGAGGGCTGTTCAATTACTGTCGCGGCGGAATATACGAAAAAGAAAAATGTTTTGTCACTGAAATCCCCGAGTGGAGCAGAGTATCTGTTACAAACTGCCAGTGATGTGAGTTTAGTTAGATTTTTCTTAAGTATTTAAACTTTGGATGGAGTTTACTGATGAAATAAATCAGCATGATAATATGCGTACATTATTTTGAGTTGGAGTAAAGTATACTCCATCAATAGGAACTTTATGTCTAATTTTTCAGGAAGACATGGAAAGATGGTTGCGACGATTACAACATGCTACAGGACAGTCACAGGAAGAAGCAATCCGTTCCCAAACGTTGTCAATTGAAGGATCATCCAAAGCAAAGAAGGGTTTCTTTAGTCGAGGAAAGAAATGATTACTAAACGAAAATGGAGTTCACGTTTAGGATTTACTTTGGCACGTTAAGTGCCGAGAATTCGTGATGTTGTAAGTTATTTTATTTATGCAGAGTTTTTTCGATTTGGAAGTTTTTTTGGATTTTCCAAAAGGTTTCAGATTTTTTGGAAAATTTGAGATTCGATTTCTGTAGGTTTTGTGCTAAATTTTTCGAAGACGTACAATGAAGTTTCGTAAAATATTGTTTTGGCAATTAATTGAACAGGAAAGATAGAAAAGATTCTGTGCTTTGCAGTGCTGTGTAAAACTCTCTTCATCTTTATTTTTACCTGCTACATATTTTCCTTGTCATTTGAAATGTAAACAAAGTTTTATTTGGCGGTTCCCTAATGAGCTTATTGTGTTACAAATCCTGGTTATTCGTTTTTTCAAAGTTAGAATTTTGTTAGCCAAAGAATGAATTTTTCCTTCCATTCCTATAAAACATGGTGATTTATGCTGATTCCTTTATGCGAAAAAAATTTCCTGCTTGTAATAGCTTTATCATTTCTTCATTTTCGAGCTCTGAAATAAGTTTTTTTATTTAAACATTATATTTTTGTGTTTTACGCGTGACATTACAGCAGAAAGAAATGAGCTTCCTTTTTCTCCCACATCTATGTTCCTGAGTTCAAAAAAGTCATAAATTAGATAAAGATTTTAAGATTATTTTGACGGTTTGTAAAATTACTTTCCTCTTACGCGAACATTTCGATCTTTTTAAAATTATAATTTTTAGAATTGGCCAAAAAAAAAACATAGAATTTGCAAGATTTCAAGAGTTCTGTTAAAAATAAATACCAAAAAATTTATAAATATGTTCCGAAATGAAATGTTGAAATTACCCTAGTCAAGGCAATACCGATGTAATCTGACCTTTGGTTCATGTTTCCTTCACAAATGATTTTGTGTATGATCTTTTCCTGATCACATTTCCAGATTTCAGTATTACCTTGGCGTTTGATGAATTTCACTGAACTTGGTCGACAGCAAATTGGTTGTTTTAGCGACTAAATTACTAAATTTTAGAGTTTAATTTTAAAATGAGAAATAAAAGGAATGGGTTTTTCGAAAATTACGTATCATAGATTCGCTTTTGCGTTGCTTTCATTTTTATCTTTCGGCTATAGTATTTACTTCTTATTTGAATTTTAATAAAATCGTAGTCTTCATCTTCTTCTCCACGTGGAATACATGGTCTGATATTGAACAGAATTGAAACGGATTGCAGCTTGTAAGGAATATCCTTCATGTATTACTATCACTGTTTATACACTGCCAGAATCGCTATTTCATCATTTGCTGCTTAAGTGGGATTTTTTAAAATTGTTTTCATGAACTGCATTATTGTTGAGTCGTTTCTACGCTCTCGCTTTTGCTTAACTGACATTTTATCTTGAATGGATGATAAGATAACAAATGATGCACAGTACACATTAAAATTCCTAGTTAAAAAAAAACTTGTTGGTGCTTATCATACTGCATTGGCCAGTATTTTTGAGAAGAAATATGAACTGAACCAAACTCAACATTCCAAGTTAAAGATTCATTTCTAATTGTATCATTTTTTCTTTAGAAAAAAAGAGATTTCGCCTATTTTGTAGTATGTAAGCATTTTACAGTTATACTTTTTCCATATTATTGAAACTTTACCGAGTTTTTTTCTTATTTTTCTTTTTTGAAGTGAATTGTTGCCAACATTTGTAACTTGTGGTACCATTTCAACCTTAGGGACATAGAATTGTTTTACTCCTATGCATTTAGAATGGAAGCTCTTTTTTTCTTTTCTTCTGCCATTGATTGTTATGATCATGGATTGAGAGTAAGAGAGGAGTTGAAAATTTTTTTACTATAAAATTTATTCTCTCACATTTACTGAATGTTATTACCATAATTTATATGTGGAATTGGGGATTTCCGTATTGTCTTCGTTTTTTCATTCAAATAAATCCTTTTTTTGAGGTTTTATTGTAATTTACACAGAAAATGCGCTAACGATGAACGGTTTTTTTATGCTTGAGAAAAGGAGAATAACATCCGATATGGTTAAATCGATCAATGCATCGGAAGGAAATTCGGGAAATTTAGGATACCCTTAAGCTAAGTGGGAATCGGTGATAATTATTACAGAATACGACCAATTAACCTTTTTTAGCGTTATTCATTCCCAAGAATTTCTCAAAGTCTGAATTTTGTTGCAAATCACTCTGGCAACTGATTGATTACCCATAAGAGCTACAATTCACCAAACTGAACTGGATAGTGCTAACTCGGTGAACTAAATTTCAATTTTGAAGCAATTCCTCGAAATGCTTGGTATGAAATAATGCAATAAATTGGTAAAGCTAAGTTCCGTGCATTTTAAACTTCATAGTTGAAAGTTAGAACAAAATTCGATTATTCTTTTTCGGAAAAACACTGAAACACAAATCAATTTTATTAATTAAATTCTGCATCAAACAAAAATGAACGAAATAATAGTTCCGATATATTCTATTAGAAGAAAGAGAGGTTTTATGTTTGAGGGTATCTTTAATTCAAACAGATAACAAACAAAGATTGAGTAGGTGTTCGTAACACTTACGTTTTTTTCCGTTCACTTTATCAATGAGAGGAAAACAACATCTGTTTTCTGCATGATTCAGTCTTTTCCTCGTGTTATCGAAAAAAGATTTAAATAATTCAACAAAAAAATGATTTAATAATTTTTGAAGAGAATTTGTTACTACGCGAATAACTGCAAATGATAAATGTTTTACTTCTCTATTTTATAGAACACAATCGGGTGATTTTCTTAAGGAGTGAACATTAGAATTGACCCTACGATCTTGTTTGTCCTTTCGTTCAAGGACTTTTCTTCCCTTTGTTCACTTAGTCCAGTTATTGGCACATGTCTAAGGCCTTCACAACTACGGTCATCGTTTATACAACTGAATAAAAACCGCTCTTCCAATTCTCCAACTTATTTTATTACACATCATTCATTCTGCCTATATGTGAAGAAAAAGAACTTATTAAGAAGTCATTCTAAAATATATCACTGCCTAATTGTAAGTTTTAATTAAATTTTTCTTCCAAATACATTATTATTATTTTATTGAAATTAAAGATAAGAAATTATCTAAAAATTCAAACTTTCTAGGATTTTTCAAAAAATAATTTATTGAAAATTAGAAAGAATTAATTGCATAACATGCAAATTATGCATCATTTGTTTTATTAATATCTTATATATCTTGCTAAGTTATAAATTTTCATCTCCATTGTTTCATTTCAAATTTTAGAATGAAATTTTTTGAGGCGAAAGAAATGAATTTCTAAGGAAAAGGTTAAAATAGTAAAACTACAAATCTAAGGCACCCGTGAAAACATTTAGACATCCACCGATTGCATTAATATTTTGCATCCATTGTTTTTCTTCTTCAATTCTATGCTGAGATAACTCACCAGCCGTTAATAGCAAAATAGCCAAGTCGAAAAAAAGACCAGTGTGTAATAATGAAGTAAATAACTTTCATATTTATGATAGTATTTATGATAGTTATTTATGATAGCTTTTATGATAGTTTTTTGGAACATAAGAGTCTATCCAGTTCTGCACATATGATTGAAATACGAAATAATTCGTATGAAATTCCAATTCATTTATATCTATCTAACAATTTATACATTGCCTAATAATTTAGTATTTATATGATATGATACTCATAAAAAGTTTTCCCTTCAAAGAATTAAAGTTACAATTATTTTTGACTCCATTAAAATAATATAACAATATCGCATAATATAATAATAACATAATATAATAATATCGCAAGCAAAAACGACATCGATCGCAACTATTAATGTTACATAAATTACGAGAATTCTTCAATTCTTTACGCTTACAAATTTAACCTTTCACCTTCGAATCGTTTAGCGAACACACTTTTTCTTCTTTTTTGTTGTCTATTTCATTTCATTTCATTTCTAAAATTTGTTACATTTGAAGAAAAAGAAAAGAATTATTCATTTATATGAATTTATTGTTTTTTCAGCAATGAAATTTAATCGTTAATTTTTACCTTTTTTGAATTGTTTTGTTTTTTCAATTATAAATAATAATTAAGGGAAAAGCAACTAACCTAATTATAAATAATAATTAGGTTAATTCTTTCCTTACTTCTTATTTCAATCATTTTTGCAACAAAAAAAAGCATCAGTTAAATTAGTGTTAAATGTTTTCATTCATTTTAATAGATTAGATGAAAAACAAGCAACTTTTTTCATCAAAGTTAAAAATAAGCTTAATTAATGAAAAGACGAAAATACTATGAGGCAGTTGTTGTTCATCAAACAAATGGTAGTTCTATCCTTGTCCTTTTCATTCTTCTTCCTTTATCCATTGATATAAACACAATGATATAATTATAACTTACTTCATTATATATTCTTTTTTTTAAATCAGTACTCCTTCTTAGCATTCCTTTCATTGCTATTACTTATTCATTTATTTTAAAATTATCTAAAATTTTCAATAAATCTTTTTTGGTCATAGCAATCTTCAAATTGTCACCAAATTGTCACCTTATAACTCAAAATTTTTTTTTACTTAATTAGGAATTAAAAAGTTTTATTAAAAAAATTATTCTTTGCAACTAAAATATGCCTAATTCATTTTCTATTTTTAATCAAATTTTCTTTTTTGAAAAATGCAAAGATGCAAAAGTTATTAATTACTATATTTAATGAACGAACAAATTAATAAATTAATAATGAGGAAAAATTAAAAAGTAACAAGAGGTAATATGCGTATGGGCTACATTGATACAGCAGGCGCATTTGTTACTATGAAAGCCGCCAATTGTACTTTTTCCTCACATATCTTCAATTGAAAATATCTCCTAATCATTCAATTCAATGATATATTATCTTTAGTTAATAATTTTCAAAAACGATTGAAATTGGTAATTTTCAAAAAGGATTGAAAGTTTAGCAAAT